ATAACATTCAAAGATAACATTCAATTATTACATTCAAAGATAACATTCAATTATTACATTCAAAGATAACATTCAATTATTACATTCAAAGATAACATCGGATTTTTAGGGAAACAAGCGAAAACAATTGTATTTCAGTAAGGATTTCATTATAATGCAAATTTGAAGACATTTAGATTTAATATATATATTTTATTTGGTATATAATTTCTAACTCAAAGCAGCATGCTTTAGAAGTTTGAAAGAACTGTTCTAATCTCATTAATTCAGAGACCAGCAACAACAGTGTTCCCCAGTATCCCTATGATGTGGTGGTGTCAAGGAGAGAGAATGAAGGATTTGGTTTTGTCATCATCTCCTCTGTCAACAAATCTGGTGCCAGTGTAGATGAGTTTATAGGTATGTACTGTATCCCTTGTTTTTCTTGGGGTCTGTTTATCACTGTGGACTGAACCCCCATTTCTGGGGGTGAGTTTATAGGGCTGTGTTTCTGGCCGCTTGCTGACAGTGAAGAGATTTATTTCAATCATCACAAAACTCCTACTTGGAGAAAAGCAAAGGCTTAAAAATCTAGTTGACAAATCATCAATTAAATATTAATTTTTTTAAAAATCATTGTCCTCCCAAACATAAAATCTGCCAATTTTTGAGGTGGGAAGAGTAAATTAAAAATATCAGATGTTTTATTCCCTCAATGCTTTATTGCTATCAGCATTGTTAGTTTATGTCACATTTATCCATCTCAAGATGGATGATCAGGATTTTTTCCATCTATAAATGCATTATAGAAAAACCAATCTTCTTTAAAAAGCCTAAGCTTGGTATGTTCCATATCAACCCTAATGTTATATCCTACATATTTCTTACATGTCTCTTACCAATTTGAAAAATTCATTAAGAATTTAAAAATAATAAAGGCCTGATAAGTGTGCTTGAGAGTATTTTGACTTTTTAAATTCAAATTTTTTTTTAAACATTAATTATTTTTTTTTAAGTAGCCAAATCTTTTTTTTAGGCACTGTTACCTCAGTCAAGTATTTTCATGCATAGAGAGCTTAGTCACTGAAGTGTTTTTGACACAACTCAGTTGTCAAATGTATATGTTTGGAATAATATTTATGATTATCAGTGGATCATGAAATCAGCAAGCCCATTTCACCATACAAATATTTTTATGTCACAAATTGGATTTCATCTCTAAATGTTTTATCATGGATTATATTTCTTGTAGATTTTGTTTAAAAAAATATAACACCCCTTTAAAATAAAGAGCCAATAATGCCATCGCCAACTGAAGTTTTTATAGGAGGCATTTGCTGCTTCTGTCAAAGTCAAAACATTTCTGACACGGTTAAGTTTTGCTAGAGCCTGCAGTTTATTAAGTTGTGCCCCGGATTGATAAAATTAAGAGCCAGTTCTGTCAAGGGTCATTGTAAAGCAGCCTCCAAGTTTATAAATGATCTTTGTATGCCTGGAATTAATGTAAAACAGTCTCTATGTTTATAAATGATCTTTTTATGCCTGGAATTAATGTAAAACAGTCTCTAGTCTCTCTGTTTATAAATGATCTTTGTATGCCTGGAATCAATGTATAACAGTCTCTAGTCTCTCTGTTTACAAATGATCTTTGTATGCCTGGAATCAATGTAAAACAGTCTCAATGTTTATAAATGATCTTTGTATGCCTGGAAAAGAAGTTTGATTGGCTGTTCCTTGTCTCACTCTCCAAACACTTTTATCAATGAATAATTTTATCAACATCGACACCACTTTCAGATGGCAGTGACAATCATTCGGCCCAGGCAGTTGTCTGCCCTTGGATCGGTGAGCTCCCTTGCAATTGTGGGGTTTCTTGTGTTGTTATTATCACACTCACCCCAGTAATCAAGTCCAGAGTTTTTATTGTGACAGTAACACATTATTAATTGTCTGCCTTCAGCTGAACCTCCCCCTAAATAAAATCTCGTCCTTAAAAATTCAGCATCACATTTTTAGTTGATACTTTTATTGAAACTAAACTGATGTTAAAAGATTTTTTGTTCAAAGTTAATTACCTCAGCTTTTAAAAATGAGTGAAGTATTTCATTGACGCTGTCTCTGGTTCCTATAGCTTTTTGAAGATTATTTTAACTTAATTTTAGTCACAAAAAATAATTGAAACAGATTTGATCTTGGCATTCTGAGTGTATCTAATCATCTGTTTGTCTTACTTAGCCTTTGGCTCAACTATTTCCCCCTGTTTCTCTGACTTCAAAGCTGGCTTTGTTTTAAGATGTGGAATTGCAATTTAATATTCTCGATATTTATTTGATGATATCCTTAACAGTCGTATCCTTAATAGTAGATAAATTATGGATAACAATCGTTACTTTATTTTGTTCTAGCTGTTGTGTTTCCTGTTTGAGAAACCAAACTTTCCCACTATACAAATTTACTGCATACTTTTTTTTTCAAACCATTAGCCTCGAGTGATGCTTTTGATCTGAATAAATTAATTTTAATTATAATAAAGAAATAAAGTTCTCCATGCCAAGTTAATCATTTTAAACTTCCCAATGCAGCCATTCATCCCACATACATTTTGTAAAAAAAATACAATATTTGCTAACTACTGACAAGTTGAATTATTTCATTATCATCCCTTCTGATTTATTTGGTTCATTCAAAAACTTTTACTCCCAGCAACTTTGCTTTCAATCTTAGCTTCAGCAATTTTTTACCTTCCATGCGTTCATGTAAATTCCAAAAATTTACTTTTCTCAAAACTGTTTGCAAATATCCGAAGACTTTGGGTCAGGTTTTGGGTACGCTTGCTTTTGCAGAATGCCAGTTGAGATCAGTAAGAAAAAACCACTCATTGGGTCTTGCTCTTAAGTTTCTTTTAAGACTTGGATTTAGCTCTAAATTATTTCATTGTCCCATTATCCTGCACATGAATAAACTAGTCTCCATGCTTCAGTTATTTAAAGTGGGCTATTATATAAGAATAGAACCAAATAAGATTCAATATATAACGTAATTTATTATATAAAAAAAGTCAATGCAACGCTTTTTACACACTGTGTCTCCAAAGAGTTTTAAATGTTTAACATTACCAACTTTGATCACTGTAAAGTCCCATACTCCAGACAATGAAACAATTTCTAGACCAAAGCTCAGCAGCACACCCCAGGCCTTTCCAAGCATCCCGCAGCACACCGCAAGTAAAAACATGATTAAAATATACTAGATAACTTAATATACAAGGGTAGTTAACATCCATGATGGCACGTCATGTATTTTATTTCTCCATGTAAACTCTGTTTTGGAAACATTTCTGTTATTGCAAAGTTTAAAAGCTTAGTAATAGTTTAACCAAGGTCTCTTGTGTATCAAAAGAGTTCTAGCATATTTACTTGCCTATGTATACTCTGTGAGGTACTTCGCGCTACACACCTGGCATCACCTCGCAGGCAAACCAGTGTGACGTGGCACTTTGGTTGTGTGGCTCTGTTCTAGACTATTGTGTAATTTTTTTTCAAGTTATAAAACATTTAATCAGTACCAAAGTCAAAGATAAATGTTAGAAGTGCCCCTCAAACCTGAACAATGAAAGATGCAGTTTCTATTGGATCAAAATTTATTAGAAATATTTTTGTTTCCATGAGTGTAATTCAACCCTTTACTTTTGCATGCTATAGATGTGGTGTGATGATCTGACAATTTCTCAGCGTGGGGCATAAAAAAGGATTGGGGGGGGGGGGGGGAAACAAAAAAACTCAAAAAAAAAATGGTTTTCAAAATTTTTTTTAAAAANACTCAATTATGATAATAAAGGTTTTAATTTCCCTAAATCTAAGTCCAGTGTTAGCTGAGTTATCAAAATGTCATTGTTTTCTCTTCTACTTGTAGATGTGCACATCTGTAAGTTTTTTTTTTTTTTTTATTATTATTTTTTTAAATTCCAATTTATGTAAACACAAAAATATCCAGTGTTTATTGCTTTAAGCTTTTGAATTGCTTGGTTTTCCAAAGCTGATGTCTACTGAAACAAAACTGTCACTGATTCAAAAGAACAAAGCTCACTTAATATCTCAATAAGCTTTCTGGAATTCTGACATTTTTTTAAATATAAATTATGATTGAAATAGTTATGGAAAACATAAAAATTAATGATACTGTATAAACATATCTTCCAATACTCATAAATGTGAAAATATTGAACATGTAAAATCAGACTGTGCTTATAAGGTGGGCTTATTGCCTAGATTAATCCATAGTTTTAATGCATTTATTTTTATATGTTTTTGGTTTCATTCGATATAACATTATCTAAATTAAAAGTATATCTTTCATTAGTTTTTCTGCCAAGTATTATTTAACCCTGCAATGTAAATTAAAATAGTATATGCACATTATCAAGTAGATTTATATTTTAGTGCAGTGGGTCATCACGACATACATGTAGTTATCAGGTAGCACATCATAAAATGTATTTGCTTTTTTTCCTTTACAAAAATATATTTAAAATCAACTTCATTTCATCAAATATTTTTTAAAATTAAATGTTCAACATCTTTTATGTTTGATATAACTGTGTGAGCCACAGCCTATAAATAAATGTAAATAGCAATATGCAATATGTAAATGAAACCCATACAAAATCTCCTGGAATACTGTGTCACGGGGGGGGGGGGTTGCTCAGTTGTTGGACTCATTGTGAAACCTTCAGTGTCCCAAGTAACAAACATGACTGATCTCTGCATGACTCAGCACTTTGATGTCTTAACACTATAACAATGGTTAGTGCCCAGCAGACTGTCATAGACAATTACACTGTTACAATTGCTAGTGCCCAGCAGACTTTCACAGACAATTACACTATACCTATGGCTGTTAAGTCATTATTCAACTCATTACCTGTATCTAAATGTTATTTCAATTCACTGCAAAGATAAATTTATTCTTAAAATGAGAAATATTTCTTTTACCTTACAACTCATTTTGTCTTCTCTCCAACAGGTCATATTCAAGAGAACAGTCCAGCTGCCAGGTGTGGCCGTCTGCATGTCGGAGACAGGATTTTGGCTGTCAATGGTGTTGACACATCCAACATGCACCATAAAGATGTGGTCAGCCTTATTAAAGATTCTGGTTTCTCGGTTGCCCTAACCATTGGACATCCACCTGGTAAGTTTATTTCCTACAATTTCCACCCATTCACATTCAAAGATTCAACCCAACTGATCTAGTGTTGCTATTAAGAGTTTATTGACATGCCTCCAATGTGTCACGATTAAACATTTTTTTTTACTTTTACTTTTTTCCTTCAGATGATAATTCAAGCACTGCCTCCCAAAGGGTGAGTGAAAGAATAAAATAACTGACAGACAAGAGAAAAAAATTCTAAACTGTTTTCTGTTAAGAGTATTTATATAAATTTTTATCAGTACCATTTTGCCAGCTGCAACTACAGACTCGGAGAACATTCAGAATTTGTGACTTTGTAAGAATCTATTGACCTATGAACTATGACCTGTGTTTTCTTGCAGAGCTCAGCAGGTTCAGCAGTGAACTCACCATCCTACTCGGCTGATAGACCTGACATGAACATCCAGTCATGGGAGAGGTCGGTCTCACATTACTTCTCATTTGTCCAAACTTTTCAAAACTATTTAGACTCTGATATGTGTGAATTGTGTTGAAATATTGAATTGCAGTGGAGAATAAATGTCATAAGAGTTTTATAAGAAAACAATAATAATTGAGAATTCTTGATTATGGTGTGTTAATTCAAAATCCAAATTAGACGTAGTTCTCTGGGTGAATTGTCCGACAAGAAGCACATCACCGTTGAGCTAAAACTAATTTTAACCTTTAACAGAACGCAGATAGTGACTGTATGACATTGTAACTAGAAATTTATGAATAATCTCCCCTTAGCTGTGCACAGACATTCTAACATTTTAACATCCTTCCCAAATTATTAAATCACAATTTTTAAATGAAAATAGAAAATGTCAGGTTTTTGTTAAATTTTGAGTTTTTTTGACACAGATCAGTAGTCTTTTTCTAAAAAAATGAATTTGATACCAATTTATATGTTATTATAGATAAATCATCGGTTATTAATCCCAACTGTACTAATACAGATTCCTGTATTTAAACTTAAGAGATGAAATCAATATCATATGTCATGACAAAGTTATTTTGTTTACCATCTTATAATCTTATGTTTCATGGTACTGGTGGGAAAAGATGTGGACAGAAGGGTCTTTTTACTCTTTGCGCTATGTGGATATAGTGTTTAACCCTAAAATTTGGCTTATTTTTCTCCCCAGGAACCAACCAGGGATGGCTAGAGATATAATGAGACCAAGAACTCCTAGCAATCAGGTAACTCTTAGATCAGTGTGTCAGATACTATACATGAGGTTCACCTACATCACTTCTAATCAGTGAATTTTACTTACATCTCCACAGTTATACATGTTTGTTACATCTGTTATACATCTGTTTATAATCCATTGTCACATTTTATTCATGATTGTTTGCCAAATAATTAAATATTAATTTAGGAAATATTTAAAATAACAGCCAGTCCTAAAAATAATTGCATTCCTCGATATATGAAGATAACCAAGGTAGCGTAGAGCCATTACAAGAATGAAAAAGAATGGCTATTTCAAACAACCTTCCATGCATCTCACAGGGCTCTGACGACAGCGGTGAGATCTATCAAGTGGAGCTACACCGAGGCTCACGGGGCTTCGGATTTTCCATCCGTGGTGGCAGGGAGTTCAACGCCATGCCTTTGTTTGTTCTGCGCATTGCCGAGGGAGGAGCAGCTGACCTGGACGGGAGGCTGAGGGTCGGGGATCAAATTCTGGAGATCAACTCGTTTAATACAGACAGCATGACCCACACAGAAGCTATAGAGATCATACAGAACGGTGGGGCCAGTGTTAGGCTGCTCATGAGAAGGACCAACAAGCCTCCACCTATTTTTGGTAGGTCTCATAGTTAAGGGAATGGGTTGTTTTAATGTTCATGTAGCTATCATTACCTGGGTAGATAAGGAAGAGATACTATTCAAAGAATGAGTTTAATTCATTCATATTTTGATGGCCTTTTTGTCTTGAGTTTATAGTGATTGATAAATATTTAGACAAATTGTTTTGACATTGGTATAAAATAATTCATGCACCCAGCAGAAATGATTTAACAGAACAGCCATTTATAGAAAATAATCCTCACTTGTCATCTGAATGAATCCAAATATTTCTTATCACTTTGCTTTTTTAGGTAACTTGTTGATATTTGAGCCCAACTAACTCTTTGAATTTTGTTCTTCTAGAAGCCCCTCCATCATCTCCAAGTGGCCTGTCCCCAGGTGGGCTGTTTGCCCCCAACATCCCCCCAATGACCAATGGACCAATCAGCCACAGCTCACCCCACCTGGCCAGGCGACAGATGCAGCAGCTACAACAGGCACTACCACCACCACCTCCGGACCTTCACCAGCCCAGTGACTTCTTCCACAGCTACCCGCCTCTACCACCCCCACCCCAGACGTCATTATCACAACAGCAGCATTTACGTTTTAACAATTACTGATGGCACAGTGATTCATTTTAACAATTTTAATCTTAAAACTCACTGATATTCTTCAGGTTCATCTGTTTAAAAAATTAATGGAAAAAAACAGAGGCTTGAGTCAGCTTCAACATCTTGTACAGCTAAACTACCAATTAGATGCCAGAATCTTTTGTTACCATGCCAACCAGCCAGTCGATAGAATAAAGGAATGGTGCTTAATCAACCGATACCATCATTAGTTTATTTAAAAATCAGCTATGTTAGGTGTGGAGACTCAAGAAGAAGTTATGAGTTGTAGGGTAAAGTTCTTTAACATCTCAACACACACCCCCAACCATTCCCCTCATATCTACAGAGCACACTTTAAGGTTTTGTGGTAGCTGTTAAAGATCCAGTGCCTCTGCCAGTGTGAGATCCTTTGACCCAACAAGAAATTTAAAGGACAATTCTATTTATACAATATTTATACTACGATTTCTGTTACTTGAATCAATGACATTTTATAAAACATAAATAATGAATGTCAAGTTGAAATTTGTTAACATTCAATACTTTATATATATATATATATCAATGTATTTGTTAATAATGGAAAACAGAGGAGCTACATTAGGAATATTGTAAGATAACCCTTACGTGTGTAATCAAAAGTTGCTGGTGTTTGCCAACTCTGAGTTGGTGATGTGCCAACTTGAACCTATGCATTTTGTTTCTGTGTACAATAGTGTAAATAAATTAAGTAATTTGTTCTGATATGATTCATTTGGTCATTTTTGTCTGTGTCTTACAACAGGTCAGTCAGTAGTGATGGCCTGACCAGTACATTATTCCTTTGTTCAATTTAATTTTTAGTTATCTCTAACAAGACATGCCATTTCTTAAGTAAATAATACTTTGAAGCCTATTGGAGAAGGTTAGATCTAAAACTCTTTGGAAGGTCTGACCCAAAGCTCTACGGAAGGTCCGTCCTATAAACTCTGAGTAATTTTTTAAATCTCCACCTGTATTTTAAAGATAGCTTTAAATAGAAAATCTTGTTTCGAAATGAAATCACTCATAGGAGCTACTTTGGATCAACAGAATTAAAATGTGCTCTTGTTTTTATGCTCCATCAAGTCCTTGACTTGATTTGGCATAGGCAGCTCAGTAAATCCTGTAGAGTTAATTATCTCCCCTTGATTAGCCATCTCCAAAGTGATGAATGTTTTAATAAATTATGAAATTGATTTAAATGACTGTTACAGTTTCTATTTAGGAGCATTTGGGGTCTTCAAAATGTAAACTTGAATGTATAGGTAGAAACTAGCTCTCAAGTGATCGTTTTTTTACTTTCATTTTTATTGAAACAATTTTATTAGATTACATCATTAGTCCTTGAATTTAGGAATTGTGATTATTCACTTGTTATTCATAATCAAACATTTGAGAACCACTGTTATTATTTAATTAAAGGTAGTTTGAAAAGAAGTTGCATTTAATGAAAGTGTCAAAACTTAATTTTTATAAAAATTTAAAATTGAATTTTTCAACTTTATTTATTTAATAATGCCACTGAATGTATTGAAATATGCAATAAATTATTCATTTATGGTTAGTGAAATGAGCGAACTGCCAGTTATCATTAACATACAAATTAACATACAACATTGACTGCTTTGTACCAACTGCCACAACATAGACTTGTCCCTGCACAAACTATGCATCTTCTCCCTTTCCTAATGCTTTACCCTGACAGATGTTTATCCCCCTCTTCTGCTCTTTAAGAATTGATATGCCCATGTATCTTTTATTTCTTGCCTGTCTCAGACTAAAGTTTGTCGCGGTCAATTCCAAGCTAGATAATGTTATTTCCCTCCAAAATGTTTTCCTATCAACGGTGTTGAAATTGTTATCACAGTCCACTATTCTACTAACTGTACTGATGCTTATTCTTCTATTTAGTCAATAAATTACATTCAATAAACTGAAATTGTTTTAAAATGGAGAAATCATCTTGGAATTTACAGTTGTTCTGTTGATTATACCTTAAAGGTTTTGTTTTTTGTATTGTTTAAAAATTGTTGGTGTTTTTTCACCTTTTAACAAATTTTAATTTAAAAATGTTGAAATTTTTACAAAATTCTAATTACAATGAAAAACCAAAAAAACAATCTTTGACTTGATTTAGTTTCAAAGAAAGACTTTAAATGGTCAGTCCAAAGTATTTCTTCTTATAAACAAGTCCTCTGATTTATGTTTCTCTGTGGCATAATGTTTGACCTGAAGCATTCGTCTCCCAACCATTGCTGGTATGCATGGCATTCAGGAGCATGTCAGTGTTTGATGAATGCATATTTTAAACCAATTCTTGTGTACATAGTTCACATATTTAAATTTGTCCCACAGATTGTAGCTGCCTCTCCTCTGCTATAAAACACCACTTATGATAGATCAAAACATTTACTCTTTTTATTTGTAAAATATTTTTGTTGGTTTATAATAATTTTGTTTTTAGTAAATAACTTATAAATATATGGTTAACTATATTTCTGCAATGATTAATTGCAGTAATGTAACACCATCCACTCCCACTTGCCACCAGTCTAAGTTAGTTTGATCAGCTTTGTTTCTAAGATGTTTTCTTCAATTTGAAGTTTTGAGATGTGGTAAGTGCCACATGTGATAGAATGTATTATTTAATGCAGGTAGTTTTTACTTATCCACTCATCAACCAGTAATAACACCATTTGGATTTATTACCCATAGCAAATAATTTGAATTAAAAAAATATTTTCCTTTATAAAAATTTCACATAGTGCCAAACAGAAATGATCAGTATTTATAATTTTCACATATTTGTGCAGAAAAGATTTTAGAACATCTCGATTTGTCATTATCTATTGGCTGGAGTCTGAGAAGGGTTAGTACCTTTCATCTGAGATGATAGTGTGGAAAATGTGTAATCATTCGTTACAATATGTCATTCATCTGAACCAAACTCTTACATTAATTTAAATTTCATCAACTAATTAAACTAGCTTTTCTGTTTTAGAGCAGCTAAGAACAAAATAATCTTTAATCCATTTTATTCTTTTTTTTTTTTTTTTTTAAAGAATAAGTCTGCTAATTTTTTACATTTCAAATGTCATTTACATATTCTTACATAAATACTTAGTCTTTTAAATTTAATTTAATTTGTTTTGTTTGAAGTACAAGATTGGATGTGGTTTTAAAGCCTACCTAAGAGTACACTCTTGGTTATCAAATCTTTCTCCTGTAAACAGATGTCATGACTCATCTTGTGATTTTAGCATTTAGAATGTGCTTCCACAGGAAACCTTTTAAGTATGTCAAACCCTTGCCTTTTATTTCAAGATTGGTTCAAGATCTATTTTGTTCTGTTACTGTTTGAGTCTGTATTTTGTTTCACATGGTTAGGGTGATTCCCCCTGAAACACTGTTGACTAATTTATAATTTTAAAATAAACCCTTGTTGTTTTTAAATGCACTTATTTATACTTGCTGACGTGAAAATTTACTAAGCCTGAAAATTGTAATGGCAGATTGAGGCCACTGACTCCCACCCCTTCTCCCCCTTTATGATCATGTATCAAATAAAATTTAAAAAGTTTGATTGCATTTCATTACAAAAAAATCTTGAACAAATCAGAATCTTCTGCAATGTTCAGAACAGACCAAGACCTTTCATGGGTTGTGTCATTCAAGATTTTTGGTTTATAACTTTACTTTCAATGGCTGGTTACTTAATCAAGATGTCCATTATCTCCAATTTTCTGTATTTGTTTTAATGATTTTCACACTTATTTAAAGTTGTTTTTTGTTTGTTTGTTTTTTTAATTTTTAAGCTGGAAAATACTTTTACTGAAAGAAAATAGTTTTCAGAAATCATTATTCATATATCACAATACTTTTGAACTTTGAATCATTTCACAAATGTGCAGTTTTTAGTAGATCAAATATCTATAAAATTAGTAAACTTGAATTTTCTCTCCAAGCTTTGCCTCAATTTTCTCATGATTTTGGGCAAATTATCAGCAAACTAAACGCTAATCACTTACCCAGTTTATACAACAAAAAGTGCTTCTTACATCGTTTTAGCTTTATTCTCATGATATTATCATAGATGAAGGCTTGCTAATATATCTCATTGTTGTGTACATTTCTCATTCTAGGGTTAGATTACTTATATACTGCCATGTTTGTGGTTTAAACCATTTTTTCAAGGAAAAGAGCAAGTTACTGATCATTATTCCCCTTTCATCTGAAAACTAATACAGTGTGTAAATAGTCATTGACATTACAAAACAACAGTTAATAAACACTATATGATGTATACATGAAAAATTGTCTTGTTTTGTTTTTATTTATGTTTGTGATTGTAATGCCCTGTGGTATTTACCAGGGTAATATTAATATAAGGTAATTAATTTTATTTGATGGCCACATTTTTAAAACAGATCCAATAGAGCAAAAAAATGCATCAGATAATGGTATAATTTATATAATTTATTTAAATGTCAAAATATAAGGGATCAGGAAAATAATCTTATCATTATAAAAACATATACAAAATGTAAGCAGTATCACTTAAATTTTTTAAACAATACCTGAAGCTTTTTCAAGGTAGAAAAGATGCTAATCAAATATACACATGTACTTTAGATCTGATTCATTTTCAGTTTATTCCAGAGAGGTTGTCTTAATTGCACATTTTCAACTTCCTTTTATTATGGACATTTAAAACAAATCAGAACCTATAGCATGTTTAATATTCACTGTGATGTGAAACTAATATTTTTAGTGTGAGTTACAAACTCCATAACTTTTTGTGGCAGTAAGATATTTCCTACAATGTAGAGCTCGCAAGTATTATTAGTATTAAAGAGGCATAAATATTTATCTTACCAACTACACTTATTCAGCTTCTGAGAGATGTTTAGTTTTTTAATTTTCCGGTATGAATCAAGTAATTCCTAAACACCCAAGTTTATGAAATTCCATTTTGTTCACTGTGGAATCAAATTATCATGAACATAAAAATTTATGGAATAACTGCTCATAAAAATATCATATTGAGATAAGTTATCTCCATATAAGCTGCTCCAGATTATAAAGGGCATCCTTAAAGATCGGCCCTCTTTTATTTTAAAGACTAATACTGTAGCGAAAACAAAGTCCAGCCTATACTCCATATGGTATTTAAAATGTTCTTATTGCTCAAAGTTATTTAAAATTCAACATCGTTATACTATCATTAAATTCCAATAAATAACAACCCTTGGATATGTTTTAAATCAAATATTTATCTATAAATAACTAGGTCCACCAAGAATTTTATCTCTGAGATTTAGTTACAAGTTACTATGAAAAAGTTCACATCACTACAGCATTTCTACCATAGAAACTTTCAATGAGGCCTGTAAACAATGTGCAAAATTTCAGCATCAGATCAAAACTGCAACATTACTTAAAGTTTTTGGTTTAGGTTTAGATCACTTGCAAACACAGCAACTGATTCCCATATTAAAATGTGCATACTTATTTGTATTGCATCTGTAATGTCAGGGTGACCTCAGGGTGGAAACATTCCCTGTTTGAATGTGTGTGCCCAATAGTGAACTACCAGGCAAAGTAATACTGTAACTCCTCCTCTTCTCTAGATGCCTGGTCTGCACCTTCATCCTCTTTCTTCTTCAGCATAGGTGGTTCTGATCTGAATACTAGTTTCTTGCCCGTCTGTTTTCAAGGAAAGATAATTACAATAGTTAAACACCCTTGAAATTTAACTTCACATATTTTACATTTCTTTCCTCAAGCTGATGAAATGGATTTTAGTTTTGTACTTAACTTTCAAAGTATAGCTTTAAACACACTTTTTAAAATTAAGTTCTTACTAGAATTGATATAGTTTTTAAGAACATTGATTTAAGTAGAAAACTGTCAATAAAATTAAGAAAGGGTTAATGTCCCCATAATGTTCACCTTCTTTTTTGGTTCTGCCTGAGCTCTCTCCAAAGCTTTTCTGACTCTCTCCTCTTGATGTAATCTCAGCTGCTCCATCTTTTCTTCCCTCATCTTTAATCTTCTTTCTTTGTCCTTTGCCTGTTCACAAAATTTAAATACATTATCGAACCATGTTCCTTACAAATAATTGTATTTGAAAATGTGTAGTTTTAATTATTATAAACAGAGAAATATAAATTAAACTCTTAAAGAATGAGCAGTTGCAATATTTTAGAAAACTCCTTTTTAAAACAACAAATTTTAAATCTGATAATATATTCCCATTACTACGTCACAAACTTAGTGCATCATTTGCAGAGAAAGCTCTCATACTAAACAACAAAAGTAGTAAGCTCATTTTGGGTAACTTAACCCCTTTTTTATAATTAAAAGAATGGATTTTGTAAAAAAAATCAGGTGGTTAAATACATCAGTCAAAGACACTTTATTTTTTTAAATAATAAATCTGAAAATGGTTTTTCTGATATTCATATCATATATAATATATATAAAAGTGAATGTTTGTGGCTGTGTTTGTGGCTTTGTTCCACAAAGGCTTTTACATGGATTGATGAATCTTGACCAAACTAGGCACATATATCCATTATGATCCAGAAGGAACTCTTAAGGGGTTATGAAGTTTTTATAACATTCCGTTTGGGGCCGGGGGCTATTTAAATAAAATTAATAACATGTACTCCTACATCCATAGATGGATCTTGACCGAACTTAGTACACATGCACTTGATTATCCATACTAAAAAATCTGAAGGGTACTGACCTCATAATATCCATCCCTCTGGGGCTGTGGGCCCCATTTCATTTTTCCTTATATAAGCTATATAAATATCAACAGGTTTAGACAACACTATAGGTTCTAAGTAAATTGAGGAATATATCAGCCTAGCTTGGTATAAATAGACTTCATTGTCCTTATTAGCATATCAGTGGTTTTAAAACTAAGAATATCCAATCTAGAATGTTCAATAATTATAAAAAGCTATATCTATGGCATTTTTAAACCGATTTTAATGGGACAAATTTTAAATTTTAACTCTTATTATTTACCCATCTGATATTTATAGATCCCCCTATCTCAGGCATAACTAAATCGGTACAGTTATGGAATGCCCCCCCCCCCCCCCCCCCCGGCCCCTTGATTAACTTAAAAGAAAAAGGATTAAAATATTGGCATTTGTTGAAGATTTTTATCGCATGTTTCTAGCAGGTTATTAAATTCAATCTAGAATACCCCAGAAAGTTCTAATTGTTACAAGGGGATATATAGTGGGATCTAAGGGATCAGGATCCTAATTTTGAGTGGATCCACCGGGATCGGGATCACACCCGGAGACGGGACTTCGCCAAGATCGGTGTCAGAAATCCGATCGGGGGTCAAACCAGGATGGGGTCCACGCCGGGTATATAGGCTAGTAATACAATAATACTGACAACCCAATAGAAATGGCTTGTGGCACACAAAACTTGGAAAGTTTGCACACAAAGAGTCTAAATACCTTCTCGGCTGCCTCAACTTTATCTTGTGGCATTGTTTCTATCATTTCAAATAACTCTTCTAATCTGTTCTCTATATTGGTCAACATCTGTAAGGTGCTGTTGGGGTGAAAAAATTAAATATAAAATTTAGAGACGAATCCAAACAGTTTATATTTACAGCAACAAAGAGTACATATAAATTTTAAAACAAAGTGTTTCGCTAATTGTGCAGGAATATTTTTACTATCTTAATGATTTAAGACAACATTGAGGTACACTGTTTAAATACCCGAAATTTGAACCATCTGTGTCCTTGTCTATTTTCACATAAAGTGTTCCATTATTTGCACAAACATCATAACTGCCCCACTGTAGTTATCACTCAAATCATAAATGTCCCACATTATGAATCACATCATAATTGCCACATGTTAGCACTCATATCATAATTGCCCAATATTATCACGAACCTGATATTCGCTTCGTTGTCACCAATACAACTTCTGTAAACCTCTTCAACTTTTTTATTCAACTCTCCAAGCTTCTGTTCCTGGTCATCCTCTGCCTTGAATTCTCCATAGTTGAACATTCTTTTTAAACAAATAATGATAATTATATAATAAATATATGTTTAAAGAATTGTGCAGTTTAAAGGAAAACATGCATTTTCTATGACGTGCTAACATAATATGCAGGATTGAGAAATATATTGAAATGGGGCTGATTTGGGCTGAATGTAATGGATACACCCAGTGGATTAACATTATATTCTGACCTGGCTTTCATTTTAAGCTCTGCTGCTTTCGCCTCCTCTTTTTGTATCTGTGCCTGCAGCTTATCAATTTGTTCCTTCAGTGTTTTAGTTTCCATTTCCCTGTATATAATCAAATTACAAAGAAGTCAAAGACGGAGTCAGCTTTAAAAAGATATGCTTCAAGTTAACATTCAAGCATAATTTTAGCATTAAGCGATTGTATCTTGAATTTTTTTAAGAGTCATGCCTATTTTGTAGGTAAGGAATTTTATTATTAAAATCAACAAAAAAAATTAAAGAAAAAAAAATTCATTTAATGGATTGGAAACTACTAGATAGAAGAAATATAAAGGCAAAAGATAATTAATTGAAAATGTATATTTTGTAAGAATTTACAAAGAATACCGGGTATATGATTTTGAATGGTAAATTAAATGACTTAAAACAGAAGGAAAAAAAAACTGTGTATGTTAAATCTTTAAATTACAGCAAGCATCATGAATTCAATCAATGATATTAACAAACATTTTGATTTTAGTCTCTTTGATTGTGTGTTTCATTTCCTCTAAGGCTTCTTCAGTCTCTTGACTATTTTGAATTAAGGACAAGTTCTGTTCTTCCAGCTCAGCAAAGATCTCTAAAAGTTGTTGTGGATCAGTGAAGTATAAATCCATCTCCTGGAATGGGACATAAAGTGGGAACAAAATTTTTAAAATTACACATTCTTTAATGTATCAGTGAGATTTGTTTATGTTTAAATTTTACTTTAATAATATTTTAACTCATAATTAAAAACTTTTTATGCCTGTTTTCCAATTTGACGGCATTAGCATTTATTTGTTTCAGTTTATTTTATATTTTGTCTTTTTGAAAGATTTCAATCTTAACAGGTTGTCATTAAAGGGACTTGTTAAAAAAAATTGATGAAAAAAATTAAAAGAAATTTCCTTTTGTTAATCAAGATTCTCCGTTCCTTCTATTCAATTATGTTATCTTCAACCCCCACTCCCAACTGGTTACAAGCCTGTAATCTGCCATCAAATATCTGGGGATTCCCTTTTAGGTTCTTAGTATAATAACAGCAGTCAATTCTTTTGCATCACTTGGCAGAACCAGTCAAATGCCTTTCTGAGTTATTTTCCATATTGAAAATAATATCTCTATTTACCTCATCACTATCATCTATGTCAGGCCCCAAATTATCCTCATCAAGCTCATCTACTTTTTTACTGGAAAAAAAATGGTATTAGTCTCTTAGTCTCTAAAACACACAAAAAAAACATGAAAAACCTACAAATTTTTATAAATCTATATACATAAGTATAAATATTTACTACTTTATTTTAAAATTTCAAAGAAAAGCTTAAAATATGCCTTTGACATTTTGTTTGACTAGAATCACAACATTTTCTAAGAAATACTTAAAACATTATCTTTCTATTAGTTTTATTTTATGATTATTTTCACATTGTTCAAAAATGAAGTAAAGCTCATCCACGTTCAAGTATGAAAATAGACAGAGTGATTTAGCCATATTATGGAGTAGCTCAGCCATATTTTGGAGTGACTCAGCCATATTATGGAGTAGCTCAGCCAGATTATGGAGTAGCTCAGTCATATTATGGAGTGACTCAGCCATATTATGGAGTAGCTCAGCCATATTATGGGGTAGCTCAGCCATACTTTGGAGTAGCTCAGTCATACTTTGGAGTAGCTCAGCCTTACTTTGGAGTAGCTCAGCCATATTATGGAGTGGCTCAGCCATATTATGGAGTTGCTCAGCCATACTTTGGAGTAGCTCAGCCTTACTTTGGAGTAGCTCAGCCATATTATGGAGGGACTCAACCATATAGTGGAGTAGCTCAGTCATATTATGGAGTAGCTCAGCCATATTATGGAGTAGCTCAGCCATATTATGGAGTAGCTCAGCCATATTATGGATCAGCTCAACCATATTATGGAGTAGCTCAGCCATATCTTGGTGTAGCTCAGCCATATTATGGAGGGACTCTGCCATATTATGGAGTAGCTCAGCTATATTATGGAGTAGCTCAGCCATATTATGGAATTATTTACATCAAACATAAACATGAAAAAGTGTTTTTCCCTCTTCACATTTTTTTTTCTTCCAATAAATCTACTTTATCTTTAATGACTCTTGAGGAAGCAGTACTTCATCTCACCCTACTGGCTACTGAACTAAAGACACATTGCTGATTGTTTATTTCTACTATTTCTGTCTTCACCTGTTTTAATCAAATGGCCAACAATTTATCTGAGATGGGGAAAGGAAAAAATGTTAGACTCCTTTGATTCAAAATTTAAATACTTCTGTCTATTGTCATACAACTATATATTGAGTTGGTTTTAAATTGGTAAAATATATTAAAATAATTGTAAAGTACCCATATGATAAACAAATAAAATCAAACTAATGAACCTGAAAAAAAATTAACAAACATATCAGTATCAGGGACAGAAAAAGCAATGCTGCAGATAATAAAAAATCTCAAGCCCAACAGCCTAAAGAATCCACTTAATTAAACTTTTATTTTTACATTATTTTCATTCATATATAAGTATAAGAATTAGGTGTTTTATTTGATATTATCTGCAGCACTCTCTAAGCCCTGAATAAGCTGATTAAGAAACATCTTTAACAAATATAAAATAAAAGTGTACTTCTCTACTACAAAAGAGGCCAAAGCTTCCTTATTTTCGCTTTTAAAGTATGGATAAGATAAGAAAACAGATTTTAAAAATGTGATAAATCAAAAGTCTTGAACAAATGAAGTGTATTGTTTTCACAGATATTGCAAGGTTCATTTTTTTAGTTTGCATTTATAAAAATACTACATTCCCAATATGATCTTAAATGATCAATTCTCTTGTAATGTTAAGCCTAGACTCGTATAACTTTGGGCAGCACATCACAGGCAAGCCTCATGAAGTGGCAGTCACCAAATATTAAACAATTAACACAGGTTACCAGGTCTGACCTGTCGAGCCCCTCCCCACATCCCTCCTCTCCATATCAGGGCACTCATGGATTAGGTATAATACCTTTTCAGTGGCCAGGCTACAGAGCCAGCAGTAAGGATCCCTAATTGAGTCTTTGTAGATAGCTACATGTCCAACAGTGCTTTGTAGGCAGCTGTTTTATAAGGCTTTATTTGCCACATGCCAGTTTCCACCAGGGGTCTCTCTTACCCCCTCCCTGCATGTTGCAATGGAGCTTTCCTGCTATGTCTCCTCAGCCTTTAAGTCACTTTTCACAAAACTGGTCTTTGAGTCATGCTTCTTTGAGCCAGGCTTCTTTGAGTCAGGCTTCTTTGAGTCAGGCTTCTTTGAGCCAGGCTTCTTTGAGTCAGGCTTCTTTGAGTCAGGCTTCTTTGAGCCAGGCTTCTTTGAGCCAGGCTTCTTTGAGCCAGGCTTTGACTCCCAGTTGAGTCATGGGCATTAAAATCTCCTCTGGTGAAGGTACCCTCCTGGGTACTCTATGAGTGAACAATATCTAGCTCGGTTCTCATTTGCAAAACATGAGCTGTTGGTACAGATTTTGATCACTTTGTCTGTGAAAGCGGCTATCATCTTTAGAGCTTCTGGGGGACTTGTCTATGTCACCGCTGCATTTGCCAGTAAGAGAGATTAAAATATTCCTGTGGGCCCTGTGTTGGGTATAGATGCATTTTTTTAACTGCTCTTAGGTATTGGAAGGTTTTTCCCCAATTCATTGATCACATCCATAAAGGAGTCTTTTTAAACTCACTTGCTTTACCCATTGGTAATTGGAAGCAGGTCTGGTTTGCGGTATCATTCCACCACACAAAAATGAAGAGCAAGAACTGTTTGTCTTACAAAGGCCTGGACCAGGAGGCTGTAATCAGTGGTACTCTCATGCTCCCAATATAAAGAGCTCTTAGGAGATTTGCACGGCTCACAAGTTAGTGCGTGCCTATTTCTTCACCATACTCAGCTTAGTTGTGGCTTTGGCACACAATTCTTGTATATGGTTGTGTGGCTGGACTTGCTTATCCAGTTTCATGTTGGCGTCCTATCCCATTTGAGTCTTGTCCGAAATATGGTTAATTTCACTTCCTGTGTAAGAGCATCACTCCCATTTGTGAAAATTAATATGTGTAATCAAAAAGTTGGTCTCATTTGGAACTATTTTAATGTATAGGGTTTCTTCGTGGTTCTGTCTTTGAGAATTAATTTTAGAATTATCATCTACAAGAGTTCAATGTGGTAGTTTTTTTCCCAATTTATTTCATTATTTCACAAATAAACTGATACAGTAACCATTTCAGCCAGTGGTCCAATAAAGTAGAATCCAAACATTTATACAAAAATAAAAGTTTCAGCCTGGTGATGATTGAATATACCCAGGAATCAGTTGCCAGATTTTAGTTTTATGATTGAAACAAGATAGGACAATACTATTGGTGAGTTATGAAAGTTTTACATCTGAGTTTTGTGGCAATGGCCATTAGAGATTATACAGATGGAATTAAATGAAACTAGATTGCAGTGTTATAGCTTCTTCATGTGAATACTTAATAAGAAATGTTGAATCACCATAAATGATGGAGTATTTCAAAGAAATAATATTATTTATAATAGGAGCTGAAAATAATTTTGATTTAAATCAAAAGCTCTTAGTACAAATAAAGGTGTTTAATTTTTTATGACCCGCTGCTCCCCGGAGGCAACTCTGGAGATACGATTGGTCAACAGTCAAATAATTAAAATATAACATTTCAACATGTTACATCTTACAACCTTAAAACTGGATTCTTAAAAAGTTAATTTAAAAAATCAGTTACTTACTCTTTGGTACCTTGTATACTCCTTTTTTTATCCCCAGGGGCTTTGCCAATACTTGTTTTCGCCCTCCCTCCGATTGCTACAAGGGACGATGTCTCAGACAAATTTGACGACTGCTGACCTGATGGCCATTTTATAGAGACAGCTCTTTCCCTTTCTTTCAACCTCTCCTCTCGTCTTTTGGCTCTCTCTTTCATTCTCACCTCTTGGACCTCCTATAATAAGTGATTTAAGAGACATAGGTAATGGAATATAGCTTTTTTTTTTAAATTCCATTTATATGCATTAATTCCTTACATACTCTTCAGTTTCCATCTAACTATAAAAATTAAAAATCATCAAATATTGTTATTAAGCCCCTTGGTTTATAATGAAAGAGCAGAGTTTAACTTTGCTATTTTTGTGAATTAAAAAAAGAATAAAAAATAATATTAACATTTATTCGAAAGAAGGAAGATGTAAAGGGGTGCAAAATGGGGGGGATAAGGACATGCACGGCTGTTAGAGGAAATCCACAGGGATTAGGAGTTGAACTAATTGTAAGCACCAATTAAATTGATTTGAGATAATTTGTTAGATGTTTCCTGGCTTTTACTCTCAGCTTTCATTATTATGTTCAGACTTTTTTAATTTCATTTCCCATAAACACTGAGTAAAAACTGTATGAGTTGAAAACAATTCTGTGCTATAGGTTTTTTAGTTGCCAGTTATTTAGAATGTTGTTTTTAAACAAAAGATTCCAAATTCAAATCATGAAATTTCTTTTAATTTTCTATCACCCCTTGAAATACCATAGTAACGTAAAGTTTGCTTACTTAACAAGTTGTTCCCTACATACAAAGTCCCTAATATTATGGCTGGTTTATGATGCTAGGGGGATTAACATACAACAGGTTCAAGTATTTCATGAAATTAAAAGATGAGATTACAATAACTATAACATAAAGCAACTTTTAAAAAAAATTGAACATGTGTCTAAAATTACTTTTACTGTAAAACACTTTGTCACCCCCCTCTCCCCAAATAACAACAACAAAAGAACATCACTTACAGAAGGAATTAAAGATTCCAGAAAGACTTTGTACATCTGATATTCTTTTAAAGTATCCTCATACTTGGATATTTCCGACTTGATGGCCATCATCTGAGCATTGATTCGTTTGATTTCATTCACCTTCTCCATCTTTATTTTTGCCTCTCCTTCAGCTCTGAATATAAAAATTTCAATTTTATTGTTTATCAGTGAAATGGCAGATGTTTAATTGTTGGCTTAGGAAAAATAATGTTTCAAGAAATAATGAATGTTCATGATTTTCATAATTATATTACTGTTCCAGTTCATACTTTGCGGCCATGTAAATTTTAGAAACAAAACAAAATCTTATTTTCTAAAGCAATCTTTATAAACCATAAAAAGTTAATGGTACATAAAAGAATTCTTAAATAAATTTTCAAAATATTTAAAAACAAAACAAGAAAAGTAATATAATAGTAAAATATATTTTCTATCAGTAATTAAGGAAATTCTCATTCTCACATTTTAATTGCCTCCACAGAATTTTTGTCATTTTCTTTAAGAAATTCATCAAACATTGCAGCATCTTCCTCTAAATATTGTTCCGCAAGCTCAAGTTTTTTTTCCTCAGCTTGTGCAATCTCTTCTAATTTTCTCATTTCATCTCTCTTAACTCCAAGGGAATACTGTCAAGTAAAACACAGATACCAACAATGAGACATTTTTGTTATCCTTATAGACTGTCACAATTATCCATCTAAATGGCATTGGCAAAAGATCAAAAGACAGAACTTTTCCCATGCTCTATTAAAATGAATAAAGGCACAAGGACAATGGGTCATTTGTAGGTTGGAAACAGAGATGTAGAATGTAAAATGCCATCTCTGAATCTTTGAGACCTTTGCAAATTTCATGTAATGTGAGAGGTAGACTGTGATATTTGTGATTGGTGAGCTTGTTGGATCTTATATTTGAGGGGCCCACGATCAATTTGTTGATCATTCTGGCTCCTGGTTTAAATTCAGAGTTTGCCTTCTCTTAGATGGGTCCAAGGCTAACGAGTCCCATCCACCCAGGCTGCTTGGGATGTTGGCTTTGGTGGGGATTGAATTCCAGACCACCAACTATTTTGGTTTGAGACAGTTTAGACCGCTTGGCCACCCTGCACCCAATGCTTTGCCTTTCTTAGCTCTTCTCATACATTTATGTTAGTTATGTTGATTTGTTTCAAGCTAAATGACAAAACTGCCACCATTACAATGAAGAAAGTATATCATTAATTTACTCAATTTCATAAGGATGATTTTTTTTACTAATAAATAAAAATATAATTAGTTAAAATTTCTATTCAATCAATTTTTGTTTCATTTTGGGTTTATATTTGAAATAGATAACTTACAAAGTGACTGAAATAAACACATTCTTTTGTAGAGAGCATTTTTAAGGTTCAGCACAGCAAGAGCTTTATTCTATTATTGCAATATGTTAAAAATAGGTAGGTTGAGAATAAAGGGTGTGATATAGAGGCATTTTGATTGCATAATAGATATTGGGCTGGACATTTTCAAAATTTGTTTTAGTTAGTTAAGAGAGTAGCATATGGTGAGTGAGAGAGAGAGAGAGAGAGAGAGAGAGAGAGAGAGAGAGAAAGTGAAATGGAATAAAATATAGAATAGTTGTAGAAACTGATATGATAGCAACTCTTTTGTTGTAAATAATTATATATTTTCTGTAAGACATATTTTCTAAATGTTGGTTTATTTATAATTTCTACAAAATTAAATATGAACTCTCAAAGTTTAAATAATGCTGGGTTTTTTTAGCATAGCAAAGCACGACAGAAATAGCTATTTGAGTAAATGTTTGATTGAACTTGCCTGCACCAGAAACATTTCCCGCTTCTTTGCTATGTATTCTGACAATGACTCCTTTTCAACATGACGATCTACATAAATTTAAATGAAAAATAAATGTATCAAATGTTATCTTTTTTCTTGTATAATTGATTCAGCTCTAATTAGCTCTATACTTTTTTAGATTTCTCCAGCACCACTCACTCCTAGGCTGGGTTAGAAAGGTTCCCACAGCCAGTTACTGCAGGGATCTGAAAGACCTCTCTTTTTAAATCTTAGAAACCATCATTTAAGAGTGATTGAAGGTTTGAAGCCTTTTTAGCCCGCCAAAGTTTTTGACAATACAGTTGAACCTGGTTATGTCGTCGGCCTTGGGGTTTACCAAAAAGCGTCGAGATAACTGATGATGGAGATAACCAAAACCCAACATAGCGGCAATATATTAAGATGTGCTTGGAATCTCTTTATGTACATGATGTGCATTTATAAATGAGAAAGTACATGCACAGGTTTTTGGAGTTGTTTTTTTACACAACAACGTTACCACGATTTGTTTGATGAAGCGATCGGGATGCTATAAAAATGTACATACATGTTTGCTAACAACACAAGGAATATGTGGGGTGCCACTTTTCCGGATTATCCCGGAATCCTGGATTCGTGAGGCTAAATATTTTTCAGCTCCGGATTCGTGAGTTTTTATTTCCTCCCTCTCCGGATTCACCAGTTTAGTTTATTCAAATACGGATTCTGTTTTTTTTTAAAAAGTCAACATGTAAGAACGCTTTGCTTGCTCAAATAAGGATTCTAGGTTTTTTAAAAAATCAACATGTAAGAACATGTCAAAGCCTATTATTAAATAGCTTTCTATTATATTAAGCACAGCTATAATAAGAACGCCTATATTTATAAATAGAACAGGTACTACAACCTCGCCTCTCTCTTTTGTTTGCAAGCCTCTCGCTCTTCGCTTCTTGCTGTGTCAAGTTAATTGTGCGGACAACATATTGTCATTTTATTTCAATTACTACAGTTTGAAGTAGGCACGTTTCTGCTGTATATAATTTTCAAAAGCCGGCGAATGGTCATAGGTATTGAGATAACCGAAGTTAAGTGGCAAATTTGGCCACTTTAGTGCTCAAGATATCAGGGTTTGGCGACTTAAAAGAATAGACATAACCGAGCAGAAAAGCTAAGACAAAGAGAGAATTGCGCGGTTCCACTTCAAAAAACGTCAAATTAACAGGGTTGGCGAGTTCACCGAGGTAGAGATAAGTGAGTTTCATAAGAAAGAACATGAAGCTGCAGCAACAAAAGAAAATTTAAAATATTCTCCACAATACACAACTTGGGGGTAACTTTCCTCAACATGCCAATAAAGGAGAAATACGTATTTATAATAATAAATTTTGATTTCAACAGCAAGAGCTACACTGCATGTATTGCTAAATACAATATTTCAAATCCTGACAAAGACATTTATTGAAATTTCGAAATAATGGATGGACAAGACAGATATTGATTTTACTGTTGTGTTAAAAAACAAAATAATCCAAACAATTGAAAGACTTATTGGAAATACAAAACAATAGAAGGAAACAATTACAATTAAAAGTACAAGTTGTCATCACATGCACCCCTCCAATACCCCTTTTACCTCTTGTTATTGCTATTGTGAACTGTGGATCATCTTTCACTGCAACAGTTTTGTCCCCCTCCTCTTCTTCTTCTGATTCAGATTCTGGAGGTTGAATCATAGATGCAGGTCGAAAACAAACACGAGAATTGTATGTTGTTTTTTCATGAACTTTAAGCTCCCTCTGTCGCATTCGTTCCTGTTTTGAAGAATCAACATTATTCATAGCATTTAACTGAGATAATATTGTTCATAACATTTAAGTGAGATAACATTATGCATAACATTAAATGAGAGAATAATATTTTGTCCATATTTTAAAAAAGAATAAAATAATTATAGACTGATACTGCTCATTTATTTAAATCTCTTATGCTTAGAAAAACAAAAATTAAACTAAATGTATTACTCGCTTCTACCTGCAATTTCCTTTGCTTCTCCTTATCCCGCAGCAAGAAAATATCACTGTCAGGAGGCATTTTGAATGGATTAACCCTAGCAACAAGTATTCCTTTATGGGAAAAGAGAGTACAGAAAGGATTTAAGAAAACTAATATAAATTTTATTAGGTATAAGTATAAGAAAATGTAATTTTAGAATGTGTAATTTCTTACCTGACTTTGATTTCTCTGTAAATCCAAAGTTTGCACTTCCAGTTTTCCTTGTAATGTGAGAGGTAGACTGTGATATTTGTGATTGTTGAGCCTGTTGGATCTTAACATCTTCACCTAAGGAAAAATTAATGTAAATTTAAAGTATATTTAATATTCTTAAATGTATATTACTGATAACTCATTATATTACAATGCAAATACATGTCTTTTACTTTTTCAACATAAATTACATAAATAAAAATGTTTGAGATGTTTGAATAAAATGCTAATGTAATGTCTAAAAAAAAAAAATAAAGTTAGGTGAAACTTTAATTAAAGAAAAATGTAAAATAGTAATTAAAAAATTGCCTTTTGCTAAATAAATAGATACAATGATTTAGATAATAGTTAAACATTTCAGGGTGCAAATACAAAGTTTCTTTTAATAAAGTATTGTTTACGAATATTAAATGGATATTGCTTAAAACCCTTTTTTGAAATTAACTGCTTACTCAAATTTTTTGTACCGGTAACTGTATCTGTGCTCATGGGTCGTGTAACTGTTGATCCAGGCTGAAATTCTATTATCTCAGACATTCTACAAAGAATAGAAGCTAAATTTATTTTTACAGCAATGAAACAAATAAGTATAAAAACATTGATGTATTATAATTATATAAGTAACACACTGCAGTGGTTTAAAAAACTCCACCTTTAAATTTGAAATGCTTTAAAATAACCTTTAGGCAAAAAAGAAAGTGTTTGTACGTAGGGTTACCAGAAGTCTATATTTAGTATGGACAGTTTGTATTTTCAAACCCCTTGTCAGTGCTAATTTTTGCGTCCAAATTTGTCCATACTTTCCTCTCGTTGTCCGGATTGTCCGTACTTTTGGCAGTGATGACTTGCTTGTCTTATTTACTGATTTCCATTTAACTTATCTTATTTCTTTGCAAAGGCAAGCACAGTGAATAGTTCAGCTCTATTGGACAGTCCAAAAATAGAATAATTTATATCTCCAATGCTTTAAAAATATCACACAAAGATGTGCAGGAATTATCTTATAATGTTGCCATTTCTTTTCACATATGAACTAGCCAGATATCGCTTCAACAGTACTCAGTAGTAACAGTATTTCAGTAATAATTCATCCACCATTTCTTCAATGTGCTAGTTCAGTGGTTCGTATAATGTTTCGATTCCCAAAGCTAATGTCAAATTTATGTTTTCACCATTCTTTTGCTTCTCTCTCTGATACTACTTTTCAGTTAAGTGCTATTTCTATTTTATTCTGTTTTTACTGTTTTTAGTTTGCTGCGTAGGATATGCTGCACCTGGGTCGAAACTGGAAAATGGTGCCCCTTGCTATATATAAAAAGTTCCTCCAGGGTGCATTAGTGAAAAGGCGACCCCCCCCCCCTCCTCCTAGTCATTCTAAAGTATATCGGATTTGATACTTTAATTTACTATTAAGATCCTATCTAAAGACGATTTTGGCGCTTGCTGTGACTGCCCTCTTTGTCCCATTCTCATGGCTCTGTCAGAGGGCAACATGGCACCGAGAGCGACGCATATAGAATATGCATATTATGGGGACCACTGTGCTGGCCAAACTGTTGGCGGTGTAAACCCGCGGAAAATTATCTATTAAATTAATTTATGTCTTTGGTGTTTTTATGGGGATGAGGGCTAAAAGCTTCCTATACTTACAACAAATTTATATATTTATATTTTAGTTTTTTTCGGGGGGTGGGGGGTGTTGTCCAAAAAAAAAGTCAAGCACAACACCAGCCCCCCAGCCCCATATGGTTCCGGTTGCTGTAAGCCTTTGTGTCCGTACTTGACATCCAGAAAATCTGGTAAGCTTATTGTATGTATATGGGGGCAGTAGCACTGAGCATAGCCAGGGCAGTGCAGGGGGAGCAGCAGCTGTCCCTGAGACTGATACCATTTTTCCAGAAGTTGGGCCTTTTCAAGGCAATATAATATAAATTTTTTGTTCCATTTGTCAAAAAATATATATATAATTTTAAACATTTCGTTTCATTTGGAGAAAACTTTTAATCTATGTAGTTGCTGAAATAAAACCAAACACTATACTTTGAAAATGTTTATATGTGACTGATACATTATGACATTATGATTATGACCAAACTAATATTTATTTTGACTTCTATAAAATTAATTATAATACAACTTAATTTCCTGCTTCATTTCAGCTTCTATATATATTAGCAATATATTTATCATTTTAACTTACTTTTATGAGTCTGTATATTCTTGAAGTAAAACGTTATATTAGAAGGTAATACGGTATACCAATATTATCAGTCAGAAAATGTGCTTTATTTCCTCTTCTTTCAAAGTTTGAACTCCATTTTGTAACCATAGCAATTTTAAAAGGGATGCCACTCATAAATTTTTATTTTAGTGTAAGGATACATTTGAGACATTATTTCTTTATAACTATTATTAAACTTTTTCTCAATAATATGCAAATTACTTCTATATTATTATAACAAAATTTCTATTTAATTTTTAAATTACATAGTTTGTAACATTCAATCAAATTTTCACAAATATTACGAAACTTTTTGGAAGGACTATTTTTTTTACAGAGTGACCTATGACACCGCGAAGTCTATCTTTCCCGCGAAAATTTCTTCACCAGTTAATTGGAATAGGTATCTCATCAAACTAAATAAATTGTGTAATTAATTACTCATAATGGCTGTAAGTTATCTATTCATATTTATGTTATTTAATTAATATTTATACTTCTTATTTATCTTGTACTTAGAAGGCCATATGCCTATCAATTATAGTTATATACACTGTACCACTTTGCCACTATTCATTCTATAAATAAATGATATGATGATCATAATTAATAATAATATTATATGAATGACTCTATGATCATGTGTCATGAGTCATAGTCACACTCATGAAAGTGTTCTAAAAATAAAGAAATCCTATGCGTATGCTAAAGTATGCTTACTCCACTCAAAACGTTCATCTGATTTAATTTCTTACAGGATGAAACATCTTCAGATGCCGATCCCTTTTCCACTGCTAGTAGTCCTGGACGTGGTCGTGATCCTTTAACATCAAGTCCTGGTAGAGATTTGCCACCCTTTGAAGATGACTCAGAGTTGATAGGAGATGATGATCCTGAAGAAGAGGAAGAGGAGGGAGAAAATCTGTTTGGGGATGATATTGAGAGGTATCAGATTCCGCTATGTGAAAGAATTTATGACTTGTCAGGTGTCTAGTCAACTACTGATGAAGCAGTAGGTCTTGTAGTATAACTGTAATTAAAACTAACATCTAGGACTATTGTTTTACTGACACAAATTGTGTCTCTTAATGTTTTGTGTAAGTGGCGAACAATCTTTCAAAAGGAACGGTTGAGGCGACAACACTAGACACATTTGTGTCAATTGCCTCAAGCCTTCAAACCCCTAGTGCATGATTCCCTCACAAAGTGGCACTGGAAATCAGTGAAATTTCCTCAACACCAGTAACAGAAACATTGCAAATCCCATCTACATGCATAGGAGCCAAAATGATCAATAAATTGATCGTGGGCCCTTAAGATATAGAAGAAGAAGTCCTAGAACAGAACATATATACATGTATCATAATATCATATACTAATAATAATACTAAGTTTTATATGTTGTCTTCTTTTACTTTAAACAGAGATTACCAAGCTATCCCTGAGTTGGATACTTATGAAAATGTTGGTTTGGATACATCTGAGTATTCCGATATCTCTCAAACTCAGCGACAAGAAGCTGAAAGAGAGATCAGAGAAAGAGAGCGAGAGGAGGGCGTGCGTGCAGGTCGCATGCGCAGAGGCCTGCTTTATGGTAAAATTGATCACATAATTTAACGAAAATATGCTTGTCTTATATTTTATATTAACTGTTTTGATTGAATTGTGGCCTACATTTATCCATTTTAATATGCATGTCAAAGCCTAATTTAAATTGTCATATCTTTATAATGCAAAACTATTCTTTTTTCTGTCATTGGTGATGGGTCATTATAGTATTATCATATAAACTCAAAATTATTTTATAGATGATTCTGATGATGAAGACCGACCAGCAAGGAAAAGACGAGCAGCTGAACGTGCTGCAGAGGGGGTTGGGGCTGAAGATGAAGAAGAGGTGCTTTATTTGTTTTTGTCTTTAATCCAAACATTGATTAGGGCAAAAATCTTTACTAAGTGAACTTACACATTACCCTATACTGAATTTTCACTTTTAAAGTATTAATTTATGTGATCTTACACATTATACTGAATTTTCAATTTTAAATTATCGATTTAAGTTTTATTTGTATACTTTCAAAATTTTAATACGATACAATATAATATTCTTTCTAGTGTCATTTTGAAATATTAGTTTTCTGTGCTCTTAACTTGTTTTTAAAGGGAATGGATTGGGGTGGGGGAGAGATAAAATGCTCAGTTGCCTGTGATTAACTGTTGCATTATATCAAAATTTTATTATATATTTAAACAGAAGGGTAAAATACTATGTTGATTGAAACCATTTTATAAAATAAAAGTGGTAGATAGTTTAAATTTTAAAGTCACATATGAGAACAGACCTTTAATCTTTTAAACAGGGCAAAAACTTGAGAATTCTTTTTTTAATTTTTAAGAGAATATGTATTTTGAAGTTAACTGATTAACTACCAGATTGAAAAAACCGACTGTGGCCAAATTAAATCTAGGTCATATTTTTTCATTTTAGGTGTATGTACAAATTCAGCTGCAGTTTTCTTAATTATAAACATATTCTAATGATTAAAAAAACATTTTTTAGGTAATTGAATGTTCTATAATATAAAATTAAAACATTTGTAAAGTTAAGTTTTGTTAGGAAATTATTACTTGTTAAATTAGTATTTTCAATTATAAATTTCCAAATCATTTAAAGCCTTTTATTTGGTTTTTTCCAAATAGTATATCCAATAATAAGAAAAATGCACAAAAGAACACAGAAATTCAAAAGTATTTACTCTTCCAATCACTTATATGCCTTTAGTAACCTGGTCACTTGTTGCTGCGGTAAACATGTACTATTTGTAACTAGCTAGGAAATAAAATCAAAACTAATTAATATTTCTTTTTTTTTTTAAACATTCTGCTGATAGCATGGGTTTCAAATATAAACATCCGGTCGGTAAATTAAAATCTTGAAGCGAAGCGGGAATGGAATAAAATAAATATTTGACTCGATTTACTACAATACTAACATTGGCGCTCCCAGCGGCTCGTGGCCATAACGGAAGAAACGCCGAGCCGCTCCCAGTGGCTCATGGTAGTTAACCAGTTAAGGAAGGTATACAATTAAGAATATTTGTGTAGTCAATTGGTGATATGGCTGAATCAAGTTAATCAGTTTGTTACTGATTTTAAGTTAAAATCTTGATTTTTAAATATGATTTTTTTAAAGATGATTGAAAGCATTGAAAACCTTGAAGATATGAAAGGCCACTCTGTTCGAGAGTGGGTTGCCATGCTGGGACCAAAGACAGAAATCAAACACCGCTTCAAAAACTTTTTGCGCACATATGTTGATCAAAAGGGACATAATGTTTATAGAGAAAAAATCAGACAAATGGTTGAAGGTTAGTAGTTATACCAAGTGTTGGTGCTCAAAACCAATAATAAATAATTTGTATTCAAATGCTTTTAATTTACATTTAAAGAATTTAAATTAAAGTTAGTTTTATTTGAATTACTTACAGGATGTTTCAAGCACAATTTAATTTTTATTATAATGAATTATTAAACAGGCAACAAAGAAAGTTTGGTGATTGATTACAACATGTTAGCTTCCATGGAACAAGTCCTTGCATATTTCTTACCAGAGGCACCAACAGAGATGTTGAATAATCTTGATGAGGTATTCTGAACAATTCTTTATTAGCAAATATTTTTTTAATGTGAATTATGCGGAAAGAGAAATGTAGTCTTAATTTAATTGTAATTTTTTTATTTGCGAAGATTTCAATTCACTTTTATATATTTATTTTTAAAATTCTAATCCAGGCAGCTAAAGAAGTGGTTTTCAGCATGTACCCCAATTATGAAAGAATTGCTAAAACAATCCATGTGAGAATAGCAGATTTGCCATTAATTGAAGAAATTAGATCTCTCAGGTGAGTCATTTCAACCGATAAAATAAGGTTATCTCATGTAATAATGCTTTTTTTAATGTTATATTTGACTACAATACACACTAAAATATTATCTATACGTAATACATTATTATTTAAATAATAGAAATTGTTTGTTTTGTCACAAAAGCAGGCATTTATTTTATTTTTATAAATTTGGTTTCTAACTTTATCTTTATCTCACTGATATTATTTTAATTTCAGACAACTCCATCTTAACCAACTGATTCGGACCAATGGAGTTGTAACAAGTGTGACAGGAGTTCTCCCACAGCTTAGCGTCATTCGTTATGATTGTAATAAATGTTCTTTTGTGCTAGGCCCATTCTATCAGACTCAGAACACAGAAATCAAACCTGGTTCTTGCCCAGAATGTCAATCTCAAGGTCCTTTTGAAATAAACATGGAGCAGGTAATCTGAGCATTCATTAATTTTAAATACATTTTGCAGTGTTTAAATTTATTTATGAAATGTTATTGAAGCTAAATCCAGAACACCAAGATGTTTGTTTATCCTTAGTCATGAAAAAACATTGTCAGTTCTATAATATTTGTTTTCAAAGGTTCTGCAATTGAAAATATTCATCTTTTTAATTCTGAGTCTACTTAGAAAAAAATACTTTTCTGTTTTGTTAATCCTTTACTGCAAAAACTCTAATGCATATTGAAAGTGTTTTTAAAAACTTTTATTGTTTTTATAATTTTAGACTGTGTATAAAAATTACCAAAGGATCACCATTCAGGAGAGTCCTGGTAAGGTACCTGCTGGTCGTCTGCCAAGGTCTAAAGATGCCATTTTGTTAGAGGACCTTGTTGACTCATGTAAGCCTGGAGATGAACTGGTAAGTACTGTTACTTTTGTGTCTTTTTATGCTTGTAATAACCTGTAAGACTTTTAATTTAAACTAAATTTTTCTCTCCAATATAAAAAAAAAAAATTGTGTACATTTTATTTACAGGAGTTAACAGGTATTTACCACAACAATTATGATGGTTCTCTAAACACAGCAAATGGGTTTCCAGTCTTTGCAACTGTTATCCAGGCAAACTTTATCACAAAGAAGGATGACAAAATGGCTGTTGCCTCCCTAACAGATGAAGATATTAAAGCGATAGTTACTCTTTCAAAAGATGAAAGGATATCAGAGAGAGTGAGTACTTCTATCAAGTTTAAACTATAATAAATACATTATCAAACCTTGCTTCATGCATGTTATGATTTACAAACTAAGTTAAGTAAAGTATAATTTACAAACTAGAATAAGATCCCGGTATTTAAAAATAAATCGTATGTGTACAAACACAAATGAAATTAAATTTATGCAGAGTTGATAATGGTTCTAGCTTGTTTGCCTTTTTTCTTCTTTTTTTTAAAGTTATATATAATTGAATACTTTAAAAATGTGCAATATATATATATATATATGAAGAGGTGACCATTTGCTTAAATCTGTAACCAACAGATATTTGCCAGTATAGCCCCATCCATATATGGTCATGAAGACATCAAGAGAGCTCTGGCTTTGGCTGTGTTTGGAGGTGAACCCAAAAATCCTGGACAAAAACATAAAGTAAATTTTATTTTGTCAATTGTAATTTTTAACTTTCAATTTTTTCACAATACATGTTCACACTACATGGTCTATTTTTATAGAGATTATTACAACAGTGTAATAGGTTGATAACATGGCTTAAGTAGGTTGGATACATATTTAAGAAACCCTTCATGATTTTCATTTGTAACTTTCATCTTCTAGGTAAGAGGTGATATCAATGTTTTGGTCTGTGGAGACCCTGGGACAGCTAAGTCACAGTTTCTCAAATATATTGAGAAAACTGCTCCAAGAGTTGTCTTTGCTACAGGTCAGGGAGCTTCTGCTGTAGGTCTGACAGCATACGTTCAAAGAAGTCCTATAACAAAAGAGTGGACACTAGAGGCTGGAGCACTAGTGCTTGCTGATAAAGGTGTTTGTCTAATTGATGAGTTTGACAAGGTAAATTTGATTTTTTAAAGATTTAATAACTTGTAATTTTTTTAATTTCTTCAAAGCTTTGCAGTTGAGTATTCAAATTAACATGCCTAAAAATGTTCCTTTTCTGTTTTTTTTTTCAAAACTAGATGAATGATGCAGACCGCACAAGTATCCATGAGGCTATGGAACAGCAGAGCATTTCAATCTCAAAGGCTGGCATTGTCACATCTTTACAAGCTCGCTGTACTATAATTGCAGCAGCTAACCCTATTGGTGGAAGATACGATCCTTCATTGACATTCTCAGAAAATGTAAATTTAAGCAGCCTACTTTATTAATTACCTTTTAAAACTTGAGACGTCCTGATTTCAATAGAAATTCACCCCCACAAGAGTTTTAACTAATAGCATACCATTAAAGACATTTGCCTCTCAGAAAAATGTTACGTTTGATTTGAAAAGATTTGAGGCATAAGTTGTTACTTAATTACTGGGTGGCCAAGTGGTCTAAACTGAGCAAATCTGAAGTTGATGGTCTGGAGTTCAATTCCAGCTAGAGCCCAGTCAAGCAAAAACACCACCAGCAGCCCGGGTAGATAGGACTCGTTAACCTTGGATGGCTACTCATCTAAGAGAAGGAAAATCTGAAATCAAACCCGGAGATAGAGTCCCGAAAGGCGGATAACATTGATATAATGAAACATTCCGGCAACTCCTGCGATGCCACTGGTGCCAAGCTGTATCATCCAATGATGTTCCCTTGGGTTATCCAGCGGCGTGGAGAGAGGCGATTTGCTGTTGGGAACCAGCTTATAATCCTTGAAGAATAATCCCAGGCCATGTGGATTTCGTCCTCCGAAGCCACATTATGACGGACGGATGCCAGCAAAAAAAAAAAATTTCATCACAAATAATCAATAATATGTATTATTATTCAACTTGCATATAAATGACAATGTTGACGTCTTGTCTTTGTGATAATGATACATCTGCTATTGTTGCACTCTGGCTTTTTGTTTAAATTAATATTTAATTGTATCTAATTTTAGATTACTAGAATATTTGGGTAGATGCATTCCTAATTTTTAATAAAAATATTCCAGCAATTTTGAAATGACCTCTAGTCCAATAATAGTAAGTAGTTCATAAATTATTTTATTTTCTTTAGGTTGATTTAACAGAGCCCATTCTTTCTCGTTTTGATGTTTTGTGCGTGGTCAGAGATACAGTTGATTCTGTTCAGGTTTGTTTGCTTTCATTGTTTATAATTTAAAATTATCACTTTTTAAAAAAAAAATAATAATTTTTAATTCCACTTAGACTGAGAATTGTATGAAATTTATTGTTTAGATAAGAAATAATCACACATTGAATGTGTGTATGAAATGAATGAAAGTTTCATTTTGATTTTAAAGGATGAACGTCTAGCAAGATTTGTTGTTGGTAGCCATATGAAACATCATCCTCATGCAAGTGATGATATGGCAGAGCTTCCACAGGTTTGTACTTCATAAATGACTATTTCAGCCTAACGGTTTAAAATAACCATGCCTTTCATATTCAACAAGTTGGAATAATTTAATGCTCAATTACTTACATATATTATATACTTAAAACCGGTAGGCCATCAATAATTTTAATTATTTTAGAATCCAAGTGACCATTACACTGGCTTAGAAAGGAATGGTGTGAAGAATATTAACAAAAAATTTAATGTATTAAAATAGGCAATTTGTCAGACTCCGAATATGTTTTATTTAATCACAGAGGCAATTGGGTGAGTCAAAGATTGACCCAGTGCCACAAGAACTGCTCCGTAAATACATTATGTATGCCAAAGAAAAGGTTCGACCTAAGCTTCATCAGATGGATCAAGATAAAATTGCAAAAATGTATTCAGAGCTGAGGAGAGAATCTATGGTAAATATATTACTAGCACAAATAGACACATTTATAATCACGTTTTTTCCTTCAAAAGTTACTGGTACCAGTAATTTAAAAAGAGGTCACATTTTGACAACTAGGAACACTTGATTAAGTTGTGTTTTTTTTTTAAAATAATTTATAGTGTGACCAATTTTATTATTTTTCATTTCTGTTAGGTTGTCTTCTTCAATTTCACATTTTATTAATAAAAATTGGATTTTTTTTAATTTTCAGATGATGCGTTTGTATTAGTGGCTATACATTTTGTTTGATAAGTATTCATTTATTTTCCAATTAGGCCACTGGGAGTATACCGATTACAGTGCGTCACATAGAATCCATGATAAGGATGAGTGAGGCCCATGCCAGAATTCACCTGAGAGACTATGTCAACGAGGATGATGTCAACATGGCAATCCGTGTCATGCTGGAGAGTTTTATCAGCACACAAAAGTTTAGCGTTATGAGAACAATGAGAAAGGTGAACACATTTTCATTTAGTAATAGTTATAATTGACTGTTATTCGCCGCAAGTGGGAGGGAAAAAATCTATGGCCAAACTATATGTTTATTTCCAACCGTAAAACCTAGTTCATAAAACATCCTACTGAGTAAACACTTCACATTATTGGCTTCATGAAATAGACTACTCAAAATGCTTATAATACCACTCCAAGCCTCTGGTCTATAAACAATTGAAGACTGCATTAAAGCACCTAAAGCTCTTTGCTTTGTTCAACATCACCTCAAACTTTGCATTCATCTTAGTCAGGGGTTTCCAAACTGCGGCCCTCGGAGACCCATTTTGTTTTTTTTGGGGGGAAAAAACTACGGAAATGTACGCGTATCCTGCCAAGCTCAGACGCCGCTTATGTGGACGTTGTGTTTTTACCGAATTAAAAAAGATGCGCGTAGTAGTGCATTATGTTTTCTAACCGATCATTACTTGGCAAAGCCTTATTAGCTGCTTAGTTTTTCTACTTCGGTTCAAAGTCAATGAGAGGATTATAACGTCATCTAGTGGCGGAGCTTTCCCCCCGTGTTGCGGAAATGGGTGAAAGCATTGTGACTCAAATAGCCAACAATGCACTCAAGTTTCGCCAAGTTTTGATTGCAATGGATGAATCGCTGGACAGCTGTTCCACCTCTAAACTGCTTGTGCTCGTTAGAGGTGTGGATGAAGACATGAACATAACACAAGAGCTGGCTTCCATCATAGCATGTATGACACTGTTACTGGAGAAAATATATTCAATGAGTTGGAAAAAATCATTTGATGACTCTAACTTGGACTTGACTAACCTCAGTTGCCCGACTGTTGACGGAGGAAATAACATGAGTGGCATAAAGAAAGGCTTGGTTTGACAAGGGAAGCGATGTGTAATGAGAAAAAAATTCTGTAACCAATGTTCCTGCACTGTGTTATTCAGCAGAAAGCTTTGTGTGCTAAATATGTGGACATTAGCAGCGTACTGAATCCAGTGGTAAAGAGGGTTAATTTAATAAGGTCACATGGGTTCAACCATAGACAGTTCGGAGACCTGTTGAAAGATACAGACACAGAATTGCAAGATTTACCATATTACACAGCAGTGAGATGGCTAAGTTGTGAGAAAGTTCGGAGCAGAGTATTTAAGTTAAGAAAGGAAAGAGGTGATTTCCTGGAAAGTAAAGGCAAGTCACAGCCATTGGTGTCTGATGAAGAGTGGGTGTGAGGGAAATTGGTCTTTGCTGCAGATATAAAAAAAATAGTCATTTAAATTTTCTGAAACTAAAAATACAAGGAGGGGAAAATCTAGTTTCTGATCTAAAGCCTTCAGATCAAAATTCGTCTTGTTTTTGGAACGAGTAAAGGCCAACAACTTGACACACTTTCAGCAGTGGACGGTCTTCATGGCTGGAGCAACAGCGGAGTTTCCCTCGTCATTTGTATGTGAGATCATCAAAGACCCCCAGCTGCAGTTTCAGCAGCGGTTTTCGGACTTGGATTTAAAGGCAGAAGAAATTAGACTTTTTCAAAACCCATTAGAAGCAGATGTGGCCAGTTGCCCAGATGAACTGCACCTGGAGGTCATTGAGTTGCAAGCAAATGACCTTCTTAGGGACAAGTTAAAAGAAGGACCAGTGGCTTTTTAATTAGTTTTCGCCCAAGGAAGACTTTCCTAGTTTCAAAACATTTGCATCAATGTACCTTTCAATCTTTGGAACAACATGCCTGTGTGAACAAACATTTTCAAGAACAAAATACGTGAAAAACAATTTGAGAACAATTTTTCCGATGATAATCTCAGGTCACTGTTGATGTTAGGGACATCAAATCTAAATCCAGAAATGTCTGCTAATCACTGTTATTATGGCATCCAGGAAACAATTTCCCCATTCCAACTAATACAGGTTTCATGTGTCGTGTATCAATGTATTATTAAATAATAACTGAATGAAATTATAATACATAAATAATTAAAAACAACATCCATGTTTGGATTTTTTTTATTTGGACCTTGAGTGTGTAGTCAGCCCCTGAACTGCTGTTTGATAGTTAATGCGGCACTCTGGCTGAAAAGTTTGGAGACCCCTGATCTTAGTCTTGAATGGTTAAAGGTTGTCAATTTGTTTCAGACGTCCTTAAATATTGTCCTTAAATATTTGTTTGTTCTTGATGTTTTTAAACTGCACTTTCTGACACAAGACTTGTTGAATTGATTTTTCTGTGCAAAATTTGTAAATGGTTAGCTCTGTCAATTGTTATCGGAGCACAATTTTGCAGAATGGAGGTTTAAAAATTGACAGGGGAAAAAACATGTCATCTTTTCAACTTTTAGGAATGAAAAGAGCTAAACTAAGAGTTGTAAGGCTTCATGAGATAAACCCTAAAGTTATAGTTAACAAAGGTGCATGAAATATTTAATAAACCCATTGTTGAATCCTTTCTACAGACGTTTGGCCGTTACTTATCATTCCGTAAAGACAACAATGAGCTGTTGCTGTTCATTCTCAAGCAGCTGGCACAAGATCAGATCGCTTACCACAGAAACCGTTTTGGAACAGACTTGGAGCAAACTGAAATTTCTGAAAAGGACTTGGCTGATAAAGTAAGTTTTTCATGTCAAAACAATTTTTTAGAAAGATACATTTTTGAAAAGCAAATAGCTTTAAAGCAGAGGTGTTTTTTTTCCACATATTAAAGTGTTATTTCTTTCCATATTAAAGTGTTATTTCTTTCCATAATAAAGTGTTATTTCTTTCCATATTAAAGTGTTATTTCTTTCCTTCATCTCAGGCCCGACAGATCAACATTCACAGCTTGACGTCATTTTACCAAAGTGAAATTTTTGAAGCCAACAACTTTAAGCATGACACAAAAAGAAAAGTTATTACTTTTTCCATCTAAGTACAACTGTTTCAGACTTGGGTAGTTTCAGACTTTTATTTTAAAGTTGGTGAAAACTTTATTTACAGATTCTTCAAAAAGTACAAATGTCGAATTTTTTTATCATTGAAAATAATGTATGCATATATAAATACAAGTAGAATCATTTTCCTTCACAGAATAAAATTGTATAAATTATGTCAATTTATAAATGCATTTGTTATTGATTGAAATGGATGGGAGTGATTATCAAATTGTTGTAGACAGCATTCCCCGAATGGTGGTCCGCGGGTAGCCACCAGTCTGCACAAACTTGAATATTTATGGTCAATTACAAAGAATATTAAATCCAGCTACGGTCCCTCGTGCATATTTGAAACTACTCCACCAAGCATAAAAGTTGTGGAAACACTGTTAGTAGTTAAGTTAAATGACTGCTGTCTGAAGGCACCAAGCGGTGTCAGGAATGAGTGGGTGATACTCTCTGGGTCACACTTCTTTTCTTTATATTATGTAAGGGAGGCATTTTCGAGATGTTTTTTTGTGGCTGCACAGCCATTGCAGACGAGTCAGTGCCAAAAAGAGGCATCACAACCACATTACAAATTAACAATTTATCACCTTAATTACTTTAATACTTTTAAAAATCTAACAATTCAGGCTGCACGGGCATGACCCACTAGATGCCATCAAGCGTGGCCCGCTAGATAGTATCTCAGTATCAAGCATGACCCACTAGATGGCATCATGCCTGATCCACTAGATGGTTTTAAAGTGTGACCCAATAAATGGTACCACACTATCGGAAGTCACGACATTAGTCACTAGCCATATTGGCGTTGGGGGACGATTCTTCCATCATTGGAGATAGAAATGTCAGGTTGAAAGCAACGGAAGTGGGTGGAGAGATGTCAGTCTGTTGATGTAATAAGATGGGAGTGGCAGTCTGTTGATGTAATGTGATGGGAGTGGCAGTCTGTTGATGTAATGAGATGGGAATGGCAGTCTGTTTATTTAATGAGATGGGAGTGGCAGTCTGTTGATGTAATGAGATGGGAGTGGCAGTCTGTTTATTTAATGAGATGAAAGCCCATTTCTGTCAATGTAATGAGATGGCAGTCTGTTTCTGTTTGTCTCTTTTCTGTGGATGTAATGAGATGGTAGTCTGTTTCTGTTTGTCTCCTTTCTGTGGATGTAATGAGATGGCAGTCTTTTTGTTTTTCTCCTTTCTGTTGATGTAATGAGAAACATGAAGTACCGGTAAATGAACGCATGAAAAGTAGAAATATCGGCATATTTAAACAAAATTTATTTTCAAGGTTTTAAAAGCTACTGAAAGGTGATTTGACAGAAAAGCTTTTTGCCCCCAGATATTCCTTTGTGCCACTACGCAGTTTGTATATTTCGAGTGCAAGGAAACAATTTCATAGTTATCACCCTTTGAGAGCCTTTGGCAAATACTTAAAATTAGAAAAAATAACAAAATGTACCGTATGTTATAATTTTTAAGGTCGCGTTTCTTATTTCGCGTTTTTCTGTCGTCGCTTGTTAGTACAGAACTGATAATGTCAAGTATTCTGAGACATCAACTACATCATCCCGTCAGACACGTTGGAGGCTTGGAAAAGATCACAATATCATTGCTCCCTGCTGTTAGGTTAGAAATGGACAGTTGAAAAGTAGGTGAACAAAAGTGATGAACTTCGTGATGCAAAGCAACACGATTCTCTTTATTTCTTTCAGTTTCTACCAGAATTTATTATGAGCATACACGCAAGGGTTGCTTATTATGGATGGTATTGTTTAGTGAAGGAAGGATGAAAACAGAGTCAAAAATGTGTGTGTATAAGTTGAGACTGTGGTTTCGCCCTATGCGTCCAACACTAGCAAGCAAACTTCCTTGTAATATAATAATGACCTACTGAAAATGTTTGAGAACAGACGGACCAAATGCCACTGTCAATTTGACCCATATTTTATTTTTTAAATACTGATTGCTCTGACAATTTAACTCCACATCAAGGTCACTCCAGGTACTTGATTAAATTACTGTCACAGGAAAGAAGCAAAACTTTAATCGATAAAATTATTCGATTATCTCCTCCCAATACACGCCCTAACAAATAAACATCTGCCGTTGTCCCCCCGCATCGATTGGTTAATGCTTTGCAAGGTTATACCTTGGTTATCTCTCTTGATAACAGGAAACGCTCTTCCGGACGTGACGCCAACTGCAGATACACAAGGCTCTGTGCGATCAATGTCATCGTTATATTCCATGGAATCGACTCTTGTTAAAACATAGCTATTGTACATCCGGTACATCTGATCGCGAATCCTTTCTTCCCGTTTAGTATTAGAAAGTGGTGATATCAGTTCTGGGTGATATACAGTTCAGTTGATGTCATAAATCACTATTTTAATTTTATCACCATTCAACCATATAATAAGACTATACAGTATAGGCCTATGTGTATGTCATAAACTATTTCATCGTTCTACGAATTGAAAGAGGTCAATATAATGGCATCCGTCCGCCACTCTGGGACCATGGTGTAGACTTCGTAGGACGAAATCACACGGCTTGGGATTTGGTCTTTAGAACTATAAGTCGGTTCTCTAGACAGCAAATCGCCTCTCTCGACACACCTGGGAAACCCCACAGCTGTACACGGGTGCTACAGCTCGGCACCAGTTGCGTCGCAGGAGTTGTCTGAATTTTTAATCCGGGTTTTGATTCGGAGTTTCCTTCTCAAGTTGCCATCCAAGGTCAACGGGTCCCATCCACCCGGGGTACTAGGGATGTTTTCGCTCGACTTGTTTTATGGTGGGGCTTAAACTCCATACCACAAGCTTGGGATGGCTCGGTTTAGACTACCAGACCACTCAGCATCCGAGAGGCCTAAAAATGATCTTTAATTCCGAATACTTTATCATATCGAGTTCCGGTTTAAGATTTTCTTGAGCTTCTCTGTAGATGATCATAACTTTACTATCACTCTTGAATTTAATCTAAACAGCCATGAAGGACAACGATGAATGGCGTCACACTATACAAGAGATGGGCTGCCTTAAATTTACAAATACAAGTGGCGACAAATATTGGGTTGTATAGAATGGAAGTGTTGGGTTGTACAGAATGTGAGTGTTGGGTTGTATAGAATGGAAGTGTTGGGTGGTACGGAATGTACGTTTTTAGTTTGTACAGAATGCAAATTTTGGGTTGAACAGAATGCAAATTTTGGGTTGTACAGAATGCAAATTTTGGGTTGTACAGAATGCAAATTTTGGGTTGTACAGAATGCAAGTGTTGGGTTGTACAGAATGTGAGTGTTGTGCAGAATGTAAGTGTTGGGTTTTACAGAATGTGTTGGGTTGTATAGAATGGAAGTGTTGGTTTGTTCAGAATAGAGGTGTTGGGTTGTGCAGGTGATGTAGGTGATGAAGTGTTCAAAAATGTCAAGAGATCACAATGACAGGGAATGGTCAAGGAAAAACAAAAATGCTCCGGATGTCATAACAACTACTTGGTTTTCGGACGTTGGGGAACAAGTGTTCGAGACATCGGCATTAACAAAATAGTGTGTAAGGTACAAGATAAAACAAATCATTTTTTTTATAAACAAAGACGAACCGAGATAATCTTAAGACCGCACGATATTTCAATGGTCCAAACATAAATATAGCACAATGAAATAATGTCGGAGGTGAAAGAAAGGATAACAATAACAGCAGGAAACCGTTCTTATTTCGGCCTCAAAAAGCTACTGGGAACCACCAACGTCCCAAGGGGGGCAAAGAAGACAATATGCACCTTATCAAAAGACCAGTAGAAACTTATGCTAGTGAGACTTGGTCACTTACCAGAAAAGCAGATAACCTACTCAATACACGGGAGATGAAAATCCTCAGAAAAATATATGGTCCAGTGATAGACAATGATGCCTGGAGAATCCGTACAAACCAAAAGCTAGACTATAACAATTGTACGAAGACTCACTCATAGTCGAAAAAAAAAAAAAAAAAAAAAAAAGACAGACAGCGCTGGCAGGACATATTGAAAGGATGCCGGATAGTACAGCAGCAAAAGTGATCTACAGGCAGAAACCTAGGGGCAGACGGCTCACCGGTCGACCAAAACTGAGATGGATCGACGATGTAGACATGGACTTACTCCAGTTGGGGGTTCGCGCATGGAAGGATGTAGTGGAGCAGGCCAGGGCCCTACATGGGCTGTAGCGCCACTGATGATGATTTCTGAATGAAAAGATGTGGTGGATCAGGCCAGGGCCCTTAAGGGGCTGTGGTGCCACTTAGGCTGTTGGCAAAATATATATAAATATGTTGGCACACTATGCCCGTAAGTGACTTTACAGTTTTAGACAAAATATCGACCCAGAACTTAGCAACATCACCCTTCTTTTGCCCCTTAGCAACATCATCCTTCCTTTGTCCATAGCAACATCACCCTTCCTTTGCCCTTAACAACACCACCCTTCCTTTGTCCACATCAGTATCAACCTTCCTTTGCTCTTGGCAGCACCAACCTTCCTTTACCATTAGCTACCCCATCCTTCCTTTGCCCTTACAACATCATCCTTCCTTTACCATTAGCTACACCATCCTTCATTTGCCGTTACAACATCATCCTTACTTTACCATTAGCTACCCCATCCTTCCTTTGCCCTTACAACATCATCCTTCCTTTGCCCTTAGCAACATCATTCTTCCTTTAGTCACTTTTTAATTTGATAGAGTTAAAATAAATACCGAAATAGCTCCTTACAGAAAAAAATTATGATAATTGTTTATCCTACATTCATCTGACCACATTTTCCCTTATGTCCACCACAATTTCACTACATTCTGATACATCACCTAATGGTTCCTAGATCTTTTGTTCAATACATTTATGGAGGACCTGGCACCTGAAAGGGCTTTGATTTAGATATAAAAGTTAGATCTGGAACTTTCAGCGAGGAAATTCTCTATTTTTGACATGAAAGAATCCAGCAATGCATTGAACAATCTTGTTTGAACAAAGTAACTAACATGGTTCTCAACCATTAAATATTCTCATTTATATAGTGTGAAATGTGATTGGATTATTGGGAGGGGGGCCTAATGGTGTGAAAAAAAAGGGGGGGGGAGGGGCTAATGTTGTATGCTACGGCTCAACCGCTGAGTAGCAGTTATCTGCCATGACCGTAAC